AGGCGCGGCTTCAGACAGAGCTCGCCGCGCTGACGCTGCACCCGAGCGAGCAGGCGCGCTGGGAGCGGCTGAGCGAGCTCTATGTGACGCGGCAGCGCGGCCTCCGGCCGCTCGTCTCGGAGCTGCTGCCGGCGTGCACCGCCGCCGCGCTGTTGACGGATCTCGCCGTCTCGCCGGCCTGGCGGAGGCGCGGGGTGGCGCGGCATCTCTGCGGGCACGGCGAGCGGCTCTGCTCCGACTGGGGGCTGCCTGGGCTGGCGCTCAAGGTTGAGGAGGCGAACGGGGCCGCCCGGCGGCTCTACGGAGGCCTGGGCTACGAGGAGGTGTTTCGCCGCGACGACGAGATGGCGACCCGCGTGGCGCGGCTTCCGGCGGCGACGCGAGCCGACACCGCGAGGACGCTCCTCCGGAACGTGCCATCGTCGGTGCTGACGCTGGCCAAGAGGGCAGAAGAAAGAAAGAACGTGCGGTAATAGGGCAGTTTGAGAGCGCGGCCCAATTTCTTTTTCGTACCTGTGTTAGAGTCCCAGTGACTTGCGCACCCAATAATATTAATAAAAAGCGGCCCGGGTGTTTACGATTTTTACGGCCCTTTCCCTGGACCGCCTGCGAACGCGCACCCCCCCTAGGGGTCTAGGGGTCAGGGCTCTCTAGCCCGTAGCCCGATGCCGATCATCCGGCCCGCTGGGTGTGCGCTTCTTAGCTCCCCCGGCCCTGGATGTGAGGTTAACGATAAAACATAAAAAATAAATAAAACGGACACCTCTCTACTGTGAGGTGGGTAAAAAGGAACAGGTCGGGTCCCCGCCCTTGCGATCTTTGTGCAGGGTTCTTTGTGGGTGTGGTCGGCGACTAGGTAGCCGGGGTCGTCCTCCCGATGGGGGAGCCGAGTTTGAGAGCACGGCCCAATTTCTTTTTCGTACCTGTGGCTGTGCCTTAGAGTCAGTGACTTGCGCGCACCAGTCGCTCGTGCGGCCCATCAACAAAAAAGCGGCCCGTGTTTTTACGATTTTTACGCGCATTACGGCCCTGCCCTGGCCCTTTGCCTTTCCCTGGACCCTGCGAACGCGCACCCCCCCTAGGGGTCAGGGCTCTCTAGCCCGTAGCCCGATGCCGATCATCCGGCCCGCTGCGCGCTGGGTGCGCTCCCCGGCCCTGGATGTGAGGTTACTATATAGAATATACTAACTGCACTCCAAGTGCTCCAAGGACACACCAAACAAAGCTCAAAGGGGTGGGAGAAGCTGACAGGGTCCCCACCTGCGCGAGCAGGATCTTGGAAGGACGATCAGGGATGACACAGGGGAACGGGAGCGGGGAGCGCATCGCGACACGGAGGGGGGGCTGGGCAGGGTTCACCCACACGACAGGGTCCCAGGGATCCCCCTCTCGTATAGGACAAGTTGCACCCGGCGGCACGGGGGCAGGCGCGGGCCTCCTACTGGTTGCGCTCTCCTAGTTCTCCTGCTACTGACAAAAGGGACAGCGACAGGTTCGCATAAATAAATAAATAAAACGGGCACGCCAAACGAGGGGTGGGAGAGGGACAGGGTCCCCACCTGCACGAGCAGGATCTTGGAAGGACGATCAGGGACACAGGGGAACGGGAGCGGGGAGCGCATCGCGACACGGAGGGGGTTCGCAGGTTCGCATAAATAAATAAATAAAACGGGCACGCCAAACGAGGGGTGGGAGAGGGACAGGGTCCCCACCTGCACGAGCAGGATCTTGGAAGGACGATCAGGGACACAGGGGAACGGGAGCGGGGAGCGCATCGCGACACGGAGGGGGGCTGGGCAGGGTTCACCCACACGACAGGGTCCCAGGGATTCCTCTCTCGTATAGGACAGGTTGCACCCGGCGGCACGGGGGCAGGCGCGGGCCTCCTACTGGTTGCGCTCTCCTAGTTCTCCTGCTCCTGACAAGGGACAGCGACAGGCTCGCAGCACGGTGGACTCCCTATTCCACTGGCGATCTCTCTCGACTAGCGACCTTCCTCCGGCTTCTCACCAGCAGTCTCTCACTACCACGGGCACACTGACAGAGGCGGCCAAAAGGCTCACGTGGGTGGCAGGGCGGTGATAGGAGTCTCCCACTCTGTGGGCTTCGCTAGAGGTGCGGCCCCTGCGCGTGTCCTCGCCCTTGTGTGTGTATGTGTGTGTGTGTGTGTGTGTGTGTGTGTGTGTGTGTGTGTGTGTGTGTGTGTGTGTGTGTGTGTGTGTGTGTGTGTGTGTGTGTGTGTGTGTGTGTGTGTGTGTGTCTGCGGGCGCTGTGCGAGCCGCCCTGAACGACCACAATGTTGAGCGCGCTCGAGCACCGAAGCACCGCGAGCGCCGGCGAGCACCACCGCCCCGCGCCTTGGCGTGGGTCGGTAGTACACGATGCGGCGCCCAGCAGCTCTATCATGCGTCGCACCCGCAGTGGCCGAGCCGACCGCCGCTCGAACTGGCGCCGAGTGGCTCCCAGATCGAGCGTGGCAGGCTCAGTCGCACCGTCGCGGGGCGAACGCGAACCGAGCCGTCGCCGTTCGCCGCAGCCGCCGGCCGCCAGCCGTCAGCCGTACAGCCGTACAGCCGTCAGCCGTCAGCTCGCAGTCGCCGTCGCTGCCGCCGCCGCAGCAGCAGTGAGCGAGCTCCTGCGTCGTGTTGCCGACGCAGTGTGGACGCGCGCCGCCCAGCGGCGAGCGAGCGTGCTCGGAGTTGGGTCGGCGCGCGCGCGGGCGGACGGCGCCTGTAAACAGACAGCCTGCACCGCCCACTCGTTCAAAATCGTAGCTTGGACGGTAAAATACAGAGCGCGACCACTTTCTCCCTATATAATACAACGTGTGTGTATGAAGAACAGGCTCGGACTGCACCCGAGGGTTTTACCAAGCTGCCAACCCTTTTCTCGCACTGTGCGCAAAAGACCACACCAACCAACCAACTGTTTCCGGGCCCGAGTGCGCGAAGTGCGGGACCAGCCACCCAGCGCCCCCCCCCCCCCCCCTGTGAAAGCACGAAGAAATCTCTCGGAAGTGTCGCGCGGGCCGCGAGATCTGCGAGTGACCTAAGGCTGGGCGCCCACGATGCCCGTGCTTTGCGACCTCATCGGACCTGGCGCACCACTGGACGCAACGACTGCCTCAGTGATCGGCCTACCGCGCGCCGGGCCTCGCGGCAGCCCGTGGCGGTTCGTGCGCGCTGCGCTGCCGCATTCGCTCGCCAGCGAACTGACCAGCAGCACCGACCGCACCACGCTCGGGAGCTACGTGAAAAACATCAGTGCCATACTCGATCAGCGCAAAAAGGCCTCGCTCGAGCGGCAGCCCGTGCCACCTCGTAGCCACTTTGAGGAGCAGCGCGTCTACAATCGAGAAATCAAGGGCGAGGTGCGCAAGAAGTTTAAGGCGGCACTCGCGGTGACGGCGGCTCGCGACCCCATTGCCGAGAGGGCTAAGGCAACAGCGAAGGCAGCAATTGCCTCGGTGCTTGCCACGTACAAGGAAGGACAAGGCGGCTGTGTAAAAACGGTTATG